TTAGTTACAAAAAATAGTTAGCTCCCTACCTTAGGTATTAAAATAAATTTAAACGTTTTTATAACGTTGTGCCGACGTTGGACTAGTACTACAGCAAAGTAGGAAGCTTCTGCGACGTCGAATAAACGTTGTCTTCTAACCTTTTTTGCTTAAGTGATCTTTAGGTGATTCGGACAACGTAGTTACAACGTTGGACAATATATAGTTTTCCGACGTCAGTTTCAGGACCTATTCCAACGTTATGCAAACGTCGTCTGTTTTACTAATTCCAACGTAGTTTAGATTTCCTTATTCTTACGTTGGTAGGACGTCGAGTCACTACCTTTTTGCAACTGTATTGAACCATAACCTTAAATCTTAAAGTTAAATCTTAAGAGTTACCTCCGTGCTTCTGCTCCGCTAAAACCTACTCTCAGAGGATCGTCTAGCCCGCCTGGTTGACCCAGGCCGGGTAGACGAAACGGTAGCTTGTGTCGCTTATTGGGTCTAGACGTAGGCTTCCGACCCTTGCTGGAGAAGGTGGTAGCTTGTGTGCCACTTGTAGCTTGTGTATCACTCTACCCGCGAGACATGACCACAATCAGTAGAGGGTGCCTGGTATGACGGACAGGGGTAGCCCCGTCCGGCATCGTTAGGTTAGGTTGTGCACTACAGCCAGGGACAAGACAATGAGATGCTTCTTAGACCGAGCCAGGCGCTAGGGGAATTCCCCCCAGCACCTGACCAGGAGCTTCGCCATCAACGACAAGGTCTTGCATCTCCTAGGGGAAGAAAAATGCGAGTTACTAACTCTAAAAATACCGTAAAGTGGGGTGACTTTGCCTAATTCTGAACTTTAAATCGTGTTTATTTCAAAAATTGTTGTATTTTCTCAAATGCGCATGGTCTATGCTATAAGTGGTAATATGAATTGAACAAAATTCTTACAGCTTTAGTGTATATTAATAAATAATATTTTCTTGCCTTTAGCTGTGTATTTTTTCTAATTTCGAAAAATCGAAAGTAGAGAAAAAATTAAAAAAAATAAAAAGTAAAAAGAAAATTGTTTTGCTTGTCGTAAAGGGGGGAACCAAGCTCCACTCCCACAAGCGGTTTCTGGGCCTACCCTTCATCAGGTGGGCTGTCCAGGGGCTGGTTCTCACCGATACGGCAAGCAAAACTTCTTCTAGATCAACAGACGATGTCGTAAAGTGTCGGTGAGATATTAGTGCATCTCCCGTCAAAAGATGGTAAAGAGCGTTTTTCGGCCCGCTCAAATATATGAAATGAACAAAATTCTTACAGCTTTAGTGTATATTAATAAATAATATTTTCTTGCCTTTAGCTGTGTATTTTTTCTAATTTCGAAAAATCGAACGTAGAGAAAAATTAAAAAAAATAAAAAGTAAAAAAGAAAATTGTTTTGCTTGTCGTAAAGGGGGGAACCAAGCTCCACTCCCACAACCGGTTTCTGGGCCTACCCTTCATCAGGTGGGCTGTCCAGGGGCTGGTTCTCACCGATACGGCAAGCAAAACTTCTTCTATATCAACAGACGATGTCGTAAAGTGTCGGTGAGATATTAGTGCATCTCCCGTCAAAAGATGGTAAAGAGCGTTTTTCGGCCCGCTCAAATATATGAAATGAACAAAATTCTTACAGCTTTAGTGTATATTAATAAATAATATTTTCTTGCCTTTAGCTGTGTATTTTTTCTAATTTCGAAAAATCGAACGTAGAGAAAAAATTAAAAAAAAATAAAAAGTAAAAAGAAAATTGTTTTGCTTGTCGTAAACGTCGGGCCGAAAAACGCTCTTTACCATCTTTTGACGGGAGATGCACTAATATCTCACCGACACTTTACGACATCGTCTGTTGATATAGAAGAAGTTTTGCTTGCCGTATCGGTGAGAACCAGCCCCTGGACAGCCCACCTGATGAAGGGTAGGCCCAGAAACCGGTTGTGGGAGTGGAGCTTGGTTCCCCCCTTTACGACAAGCAAAACAATTTTCTTTTTACTTTTTATTTTTTTTAATTTTTTCTCTACTTTCGATTTTTCGAAATTAGAAAAAATACACAGCTAAAGGCAAGAAAATATTATTTATTTATTTATATATATATATATATATATATATATATATATAAAAAGTAAAAAACTGGATGGGCAAAGTTAGTTGCTTATATGGGGTGTCTTTGCCCTCTTCCTTATTCTTATTGATAGACCAAACCCACCCCATTTAAAAGCATAATTACGTAAAATATGCTTCATCACCCTCAATATTATAACGAACTTCTGCATAATACTTACCTCAATATAACGTGGTTAGCTATTGCAGCCACGTAGAAGTTTGAAACGCACAAAATAGGCTTTAAAAACAGATTTGGCTTCACAGCACTGTAAATGCTACATCGCAACTGACGGCAAGCGTTTAGCGACGTTCCGAGACGTGGGGCGCCTCCATCCATAATTTACCGATAACACATAACGCGTTCTTTTCAAGTAGTGGCTACGGCTACGTCTAACATATTTTCGGACGGAATTTGGCAAAGTCACCCCATTTCACGGTAATAATAATTCTAAGCTGGCAAATGAGCCAGATGTTTTAATTAGACCGTTATTCAGAAGCTACAAATCTATCGATGAAAATATGCAAGAAAACAAGATTGGTACAGTATCAAGTTTATTATAGTGATTTTCTTAGCCGCGTATGGCACAGACTGTTACCCACTATCACGAGATAGCGGGGTTAAATTGTTTTACACAGGGGTCTAAATCTACCCGGGATAAGGTAGCTGTGGCAACACTGCCGCTACCACTTTTCCCCACATTACATCGCGCGTCACGGCCGTCATTCAAGACCGTGTGTCACGGCATTGCATTTTTACCCCAACACGCTTAAAGAAGTTTCACTTCAAAAAGTATATTTTTCTAGGCTTAGTTCAATAAAAACACATATTCTAACACATATTTACTTACTTCTGCCGTCAGATCCAATGCCTAATCCTTACAAATGTATTCCTAAAGCGGGAACGTGCCCAAAACTTAATGGCTGACCGAGGAACTCCATTAAACCGCCAGACGAGAGGGCAAATGCAATGCCGACATTCCGACACAACAATAAAATGGGGAATTCGAATTAATATTCAGCAAAACTCCACCGCTCGCTCCTTTCACCACCGTGGTGGTTAAATATTTGCCATGGAACGAGTGAATGTCTCTATCTTGCGGCTTAAGACGTTTGGTTGAATATTAATTTAATCGAGAAATTGACCCGGATGCATGTCAGTTGATATCAGCTAGAATTAATGGTCTTTAAAGAAAATAAAAAAGAAATATTTATTCATAACCCACCATCTTTATAAAGAAGCAGCAAATTTGGTTTGGTATGGTGATTGAAAACTATCAGAAATGAGGATTTATGGGGAGCTTGACTTGCTTAACCGACCAGAGGCAGGTGTATAACGAGATCAAACTTAGGAAATGGAGGTGGATTGGTCACACTTTAAGGCGAAGCAGTAACCTAGCTGGTTAGGTTAGGGCTATTGAGTGGAATCGACAAAGTAGTAGAAGAACTGGTCGTCATGTGGGCCACTGAAAACTTACAATGGCTATAATTTTTAAACCAAAACAGATATCAAAAAAAAAATAAAAAATACCGTTTCTATAATATCGAGGGGGAATACATATGACGTATTTTTTGAACCACCCCGACCTACCCCTTAGGCGGCACCCCTACTCACTTGAAAATCTTAAATGGCAACAACCCAGAGAACTGAATCCTTCTATCTCGATCGTCGTCGCCACGTTACTGCAGAATCTTCATTTTGTAGGGATGGAATTTGTGCATTTTCAATACTCTTCTGACAAATGTTCGAGGTATACCTGTGATTGATGCCAACTGGCGTGTTGATGCTTCTGGGTTGACCAATACCTGACCAATAACTTCCATCTGCATTTCTTCATTCGGTACCCTGGGCCCTGTCCTTTTTATATTTTTGACCGATCCAGTTTCTTGAAACTTTAGAATCAAATGTCTAACATAAACGTGACTTACGTTTTTGTCCGGATTTCTCTCATTGAAAGCACGGACCGTTCTCAAATAGCACCTACCTTCAGCACCATAAAGAAAAACTATTTGAATTCTTTCTTCCACAGTATAAACCATTTTTCTTTCAAATAAGCGAATCAAATAAAGGTTTAAAATACCACCAAATTTGCAAACGATTGAAAATCGATAGAAGACAAAAAGGCAAAAACGCAAAGATATGCCGTTTTAAGATTCCTGTTTGTTGAAAGAAAAAAATAATTGATAAGGAAGAATTTGCTTATCGCAAAATTAGGCTGAACGATTAGTAAAACATCTTTGTGTTGCCTTTTTTCTTATCTACATTTTTTATTTTTAGCTTCAAAATGGCAATGGTTTCAAAATGGATGAGATTAGAAGTGAGGGGGTGGCACCTAGGGATGGGTCGGGGTGGTTTGAAAAATACCTCATTTGCCTCATTTAGCTGGGTCCCAATTTGTAACTTATGCTAATAAAAATCACTTTTTTCATTAATATCCACCTAATTTTTCGTGTAAGGGGTAGTTTTTCAATTTCACCTTTAAAACTTTATGATCACCATTTAGCATTTTTCATGGACTTTCCAAAAAGGCGCCACAAGATTTTCGTATAACGCGCGCGCGGTCGTCATTATAAATATTATAGACATCTTTATTTCTATAATAATTATAATAGCTTCGGGCAATTGCACGGCCAACATATTCTACTAATTTAAATACTCTATACTTAAGTACATTGTTTATGACACGGTCACCCATAATAAGTATTGATAGGTAATTGAATAGATCATTTATGACAAAGTTGTTGAATAGGTGCCTTTATAGACACTAACTGAAACAACTGACTTAGTTTTACATGCCATCTCACAACTTTTTTTAGTATTATTTAAAGTTATTTTATTATTTTAGTGTTTTATTTTTTTTTTGATATTTCAATAAATTATATTTTGTTTGTTACAGATTGATACAATAGATACGCAACAAAAGAACGGCTTTTCAACCGATACCCTAGAAACGTCAACATCACCTTTATTAGAAAACGGTAAGTAATTTTTAATTATTTATAGTTTTAAACAACAATTATTGCAAAATATACTATTAAAGAAAAAACTCCAAGTGCTTAACTAATAAATAAACAACTCTGGTGTTGGTATGTATATATCGTATGATTTTTTAATTCTGAGTTAAGGTATTACGAATTATTGATATACCATTTATTCCCTGAAACAAATACACATTCTATATTAACAGATAAAAAATATCGAACAATATTTTCAAATAAAATAAGTGCAGTGAAAAGAAATGAAATAAATTAACTATAGTCATTAAAATAAAACATTATAAACAAACGTTTTAAATAAATTAGGGGCAACCTAGCAATTTAAAACCAAAGCAGGGAAAGCAGGGAGTATTTGGGTCGAAAACTAAATACTCTGAATCAATGGGCACCTACCCCAGCATCTCTCAGGCAGAAATCTAGATTATTAAAAAATGCGTACAATTTATCTTAGATAGGAACTATCGAAAACAGGAAATAGCCATCTTCTCCGATAGTCAAGCAGCACTAAACGCAATCAACTTAGTATTGCAATCAATTAGAAGTTGGCCAAAGAATGCCTAGAGAAGCTGAGAAAAGTCTTACTCTGGGTGCCTGCCCACCAAAGGATAAAAGGCAATGAAAAAGCATCTAGCTAGAAAGGGAGCGAACGCTCTACTAATTGAACCAGAACCGTTCTGTTTTCCAAGCGGTAACCATCTAAAAGCGGAAATGAAGAACCTGAAAGACTCCATCCGTAACCTGGAATGGGAGTCCTCCAACGGTCTAAGACACTCGAAAAAGTTCCTCAGAGCTTACGATCGAGAAAAATCCTCCAAGATTTTCCATGATTTAAATAAAAACAATCTTCGGATTGTCACTGGGTCTCTAACAGGACACTGTCTCCTCAACACCTCAGTAGGCTTAAGCTGAGAAACAACAATGCAGATTCTGTGAGGAAAATGGGGAAACACCAGACCACCTTATCACTGAGTGCGCCGAGACGACGACCGTTCGTGCCATGAACTTTGATACCGCTGATATCGAGGATGGAGAGCTGATCTCTGTAGAGCCGTCTCAGATACTGGCTTTTGTTAAAGCCCTGAGACTTTATTATGAGTTATTATGTATATTTTATAACTCGTTATAACTCAAGAAAGAGGAACACGCAATAGATCTGTAAGGTCGCGGTGGTTAACTCCCCTCCTAAACGTTCTACATTCTACATTCAATAACCTAGCATTTTTCTGTTTGCATTTTGTTTGTATATTTCAGATAACTTTGCTTTATAAAGTAGTATTTGTCAGTGATTATAATAATAAGTATTATGCCAATTTTTCTGTAATCAAAAACAAAGTGTAAATCATAGTAAGTAAAATTATGAAAATCTATGTTATAATAATTATTATGAGTTATACAGGGTGAGTCTTAAATAAGTGCAAATATTTTTAGGGGTAGTACATTTTAATCCCAGAAACATGTCTATGAGGGTTTTCTCGAAAAAAAAATTAAAATTTGTAATTTTTTGAAAAAAATTTTGGAATTTTTTTTAGTTTTTAGTTAAAAAACATAATTGCTTGATAATATGGGAACATAAGTAGTAGAAAAAAAAACAGAAAAGATTCAGTGGTTATCAAAATTCAAGCAAAAAATTGTTTTATAATTTTCAAAGTAAAATAACTCGGTTATTTTAGACTTATTTGAAAAACGGCAAAGAGAAAATACGTTTCTTTTATCGAGATCTACTAGCCCTGAAAATATTTACATTTATTTAAGACTCACCCTGTGTAATTTATTAAAATCTAAATTTTAGATTACCCATTAATTGATAAAGAGATTATTATTTTGATAAGACGTTTATTTATTTATTTATTGAGTGTTAGGGGGTGCAAACAGTACGTAGTACCAAAATAGCATCCACAATATACTTAAATCAGCAAGTAATATACAATAAAACATAAAGATATACATATACAAAATGGAACATAACAAAAATTATTTGTGACAGTTCTATAGAGGTAGTTCTCCATCTCCAATATCAGTCTTCACGTACCAAAATTCATGGCACGAATGGTTGTCGTCTCGGCGCACTCAGTGATGAGGTGTACTGGTGTTTCCCCATCTTCCCCACAGAATCTGCATTCGCCGTTTCTTCTTAGTTTCAATCTACTGAGGTGTTCATTGAGGAGACAGTGTCCTGTTAAAAACCCCGTGACAATCCGAAGATTGTTCTTACTTATCTTATATTACGAAGATCTGTGATTTTTCTTGATCATAAGCCCTCAGAAACTTCTTCGAGTGTCTTAGACCGTGGCAAGATTTCCATTCCAGGTTGCGGATGGAATCTTCCAAGTTCTTGAGTTCCGCCTTGAGTTGGTTACCACTTGGAAAGCAGAACGGTTCTGGTCCAGTTAGTGGAGTGTTCGCTCCTTTCTAGCTAGATTATTGCTTTTTCATTGCCTTCTATCCCTTGGTGAGCAGGCACCCAGAGTAGGAGGACTTTGTTTTCTTTGCCTAATTTATTCAGCTTCTCTATGCATTTTTGACCAATTTCGAATTGATTGATACTGAGTTGATCGCTTTTAACGCTACTTGACTATCAGACAAGATGGCTATTTCTTGTTTCTGATAGTTCCTATCTAAGATAAGCTGTACGCATCTTTCGATAGCGTAGATTTCTGCCTGTAGGATACTAGGGTAAGTGCCCATTGGTTCGGAGTATTTAGCTCTCCGAATACTCCGATCCCTGTTCCCGTATTGGTTTTGGAAGCATCAGTATACCAAGTTATGGTATGGTCTTTTAACTGCTGGGCAAGCGTTTCGCTCTTCCAATCCTTTTTATTGCTCAATATTACATTGAGATGTTTCTCAAAGTTGTACGTTCTTGGCATATCGTCCACTGGGAGTTGCAGGAGTGGTATTTCCTTTTTGAGGGTGTTCCAAGCCCCTGATCTGACAATTCTCCCAGTACTAATTCCGTTAGTGGCCATTCTAATCATTGTCGCATTGGCATAACTACCGACGACAATGTGCAGTGTTGTTAGATCTAGAATGACCTCCATTGCTGCTGTTGCATTCCGGGTTTCTTTCGATTAACGGTTTCCTTGCAAATCTTGCATTGTTTATTCATTTTGACTTAGTATTGGTTTCGTATAAAAACTTGCTTTATTAAAAATTTTAACGACGGTAAACACTCTGACCGCGATGTTTACCGTGTGAGTGTCTACCTACTGTGTATACTAATATTATTAATAATTTTTCTTAACTCTCAAAATTTTAAATTTCAATTAACAGTGTGTAGAACAATTTGTTTATATTTCAGATTAAATAATAAACGTTATCAGAGCTGTCATAATCTCTGGTAATAAATCTGATGCGGTCGCTAGTTTGGGTTTGTTGTGACAACAATATTGCCTGCTTTATTTACACCGTAGATATAATCTTCCTCTATTACAGACCGTTTAGAAACAAGAGAGATAGTGGTTTAACTAAGGTATTAATTTTACGCTTGTAATAACGGTTTACCACTTATTGTGATAAGTAAATAGTGAGATATAGTAATTTAATTTCGAATATTTTAGAACTAAAAGATATACTATTAAATAAAGGTTTTCTGAACAAATTAACGAAGAAAAAATTATACAGAAAATTAATTTTTAAATAAATTAGGTCTGAAACTAAACCATCTTTCAGACAGCACGCTTTAGTGGAGTGCCCTTAAGCCCTTATGGGATACAAACCTCGGAATTCATTTACTGTGAACGATTTTTTATAAATATTTTGGCATTGTATTGTTAATAAAATATATTACAACGTTTACCCATTTAAATTCGTTGCTTTCACTTTAGTATTTAAATAAACACACATATACAAATGCATACCTACAAGATGGCTCCGTGTTCCGAAAAAGTTCTGTATCAGGGTTTCTATATGAGATTTTCACTCCAAATCTCTTACAAAATATGTGTTTAATAGTAGTTTACATTTCAAAAATATTTTTATATACAGGGTGTCCCAGAAATGAGTGCAGATATTTTAAGGGGTGGTAGATCTGGTCAAAATAAACTTATTTTCTCTTTACCATTTTTAAAATAAATTGAAAATAACCGAGTTATTTAACTTTGAAATTTTAAAAAAATAATCGCAACATTTTGAGGACCGCCGGCAGATATTGACAACTACATCCAATTACCCGGATCTAGCCCGGATTTCAGTTAATTCGACGCACTGTGTTGCCATATGGACAAGAAAGTATATGTTTAAAAGTAAGTTATAAAATCAGAACACCTGAGGAGTTTGCAGAGATGCATTACATTTTTAAGATTGTGATATTATTACATAAAATAAATTAAAAGTTAAATTTTTAAAAGTTAAAAAAGTTAAATTAAAAAACTTACCCAACATTAAAAAAGATACTTATGGCAGATCAATGTAACTGCGACAGTTCTCTTTTTCGATGCACACTTAACTAAAATACACTTCATTGTGCTGCTTTACTTGTACATGCTATTATAAAAACTGTTAAAATAACAGTCCCCATTTTTAACTTAACACATTATTTTCATATAGGCTTCATCACAATTTGAACCGCTGATTTACAAAACACCTTGAAAAGCACACATTACACATTACTTTGAATACCTTTCTGAATAAATAAATGTTGAATTATTGTCTCTTACCGCCACTTTACGAACTACTTTCAATCTAAGAAAATACATGTTTCACTCAACAATTTTAAATACGTATTTTGTTTTTTCGCTATCTTTTCGATGTATTTCGACAATTCCGTCGACAGCCCAACCGTCGGCAAAAACAGTCGCGCATTACTGGTTGGTAACTGCTCACTGCTCCTTTGTCGCGCCGGCGTGTCGAGCTTGCGTCATGCGAGGTTGCCGTAGTTTCAACAATTTCAAATTCAAGACACTCGAAGCAATCAAATTCTTATTAAATTTTAAAAATAAAACAGAAAAACATGAAAGGAAACAAACAAAACACAAATGAATTGA